ATTTGTTGTTTGTTATTGCTGTTTTGAATATTTGGTGTGCAGCCCACAGGCGAATACACCCATAGTGGCTTCTTGTTATATGGATCCAGATCAATATGGTCAAATTCAGAAAAGAGCCACTTCTTTTGCATTTTATTTTCATACCATCCAATAGCCAAAGCTTTCTGAGTGGTGAGCAGAACTTGAGAAGTGTAACCTTCCAAAACCCTCACAAAGGTTGTTCTTGGTTTGACAGACAAATTTCAGATGTAAAACACTGGGAAGCTAGAATTTGGGGAGCCTGAAATCTAAATCTCCAAGAGTGAGTGAGTGTGTATGTGTGCTCGTGTGTGTGAGTGCTGGAACTTCACTGGAAAAACCTCGGGTGTCTGTAAACATGCTTCTGGTACCCAGGAAGATTGGCAACCATGAGTGAATCTCCTGCCATCTCCTTCCATTCCTGCACTTGGAAGCTTGGGTGGATGGGAAGCTACTTCTGAGCCTGTACAGAGTTCCCTTCCTCACACCTGAATTTCAGCAAGCTTCTGTAAATGTTGTGGTGTCAAAACAGTCTATGAAAGACTAGGTGCTGCTGCTTGTAGAGAGTTCTGCACAGCAGGAATCAAATTAATGGCTCATTCCAAGTAGTAATTTGATGCCCTGGCATGGGAATGTGTAAAATCTTCTTTTCAAAGAGAGAAGAAACGTGGTGGGTAATCTCTCTGTGCCAGGCTAATCTCAGTATCTGCTGTGTTCTGAAAGCTTTGTTGCCTTTTGAAAAATCTATTTAATTTTCTCTTGGTGATTCAAAACTGTGTTGATAATACTCTTATCAGCTTGCTTTAAGCCAGATGTGTATGGTATGTGTAGATTTGTCTGTTTACTTTTTTTTAAACACCATCTGTTGGTTACTTCTACCTGTCCTTTACATATTGCTAGGAGAAAAACTTCCCTTTTTAGCAAGGCATTTGTGTGTGTGTGTGGAGGGGCAGTACATAGGTTGGAAGCTGAAAAATCATTTTTATGCAAAAAAATAAAAATATCACTTGGACCTTCCTGTAATGAAAGCTAATCCTCCCCAAGCACTCCAGATAATTTAACTTTCACTTTTATGCTGGTGTTCTTGGTGGAGATTGACCAAAAGACTGAACTAGGAAAAAGCAGAACACCCTCAGGAAAAAAGGCAAGGACTGGTGAAGCTATTGGTAGCTCTAGGAAAAGGTGGGCAATTTGATTCCATCTTCAGATTGCACCAGCTCTTGCCTGCATAGGCATTGGTGAGGTGCTAATGGGAGTTGTAGGCTGAAACATCTTGGAAGGTCACAAGTGGCCTTTTCCTGCTGTAGGGAATACAGAGATCAAAACACAAGGGGAGAGTAGGATTTTAATTCAAAATCCTGGCCTTAAGTTCCGTTTTTGCCACTAGATTCTCTCTGTGGTCTTGGATAAAATATTTCTTCTTATCCTCATTTTCCTGTTCACTAAGAAAACCCTACCTGAAGAAAGCACATTTCCTCTCATGTATCCATTATTCTGTGATAGGCTAGACTATTGTAATGTCAGTCTGTCCACAGCATAGACCTTGACTTTTTGGAAGCAACCATATGAAGTCCTCTTATTGGATTCTGAGCCTTCAACATGCTTTCTGATTTAGCTTTGTCCCTGCATTCCCTGTGGGTAGAAACTTCCAACTTCCTTACATATAAAATGATATTCTTAGGAAGTTTCATTATGTTCCAGATAGGGGTGTTTACGGAATTTGATCTTTGTGAATCCCAGTACGAACTGACCTGAACTGCACTATCCATGGCCAAATACAGACCCGAGCTTACCCGCTGGCTTTCACACTTCCTGAAGTGTTCTAAAGCAGTTCTCGGCTCAAAATAAAAAAAGTATGTTTTAAAATACATATTTTGAGAAAGTATTTAAATATTTTTTACTTCTGGTATGGATTTTAAAAAAATGACACATTAGTGTGGAAATGGGGTTGGGTGGGGATAAGCTTAAGGTTGAATATGTGAGAAACTGGCATAAGCCCAAAGTAGACTGGTTTTCCCATCCCTTGGTCTTGGATTCTAATTCTTTGTGTATTGGAGGTATCCAGTAACACAGTATTATTGCATTTTTATTGCACCTTTTAATCAAAGCTTGGGTGTGACATACATAGTTCTTCTCTCCCTCCCTCCCTTGTTTTAGCTTTGCAAGAATTCTCTGAGGTACATTAGGCAATGAAAAAGTAAGAGTGGCTCAAGGGTGTCCAGAGAACTTCATGAGTCACATCTGACTAGAGATTTGAACCGAGTCAGTATTGAATGCTCTGAGCAGCACGCCATTCTAACTCCACGCTACAGTGCCCTGCATCCTCAGCCAGCATTGCTGTCTAGAGGGCACTAGGTTCAGGAAGCCTGAACTGGAGTGGCCAGTTGACATGAGTGGATAAGAGTGGAGCTGCAACAATAAAGGGGTCCATTGACATAACTATTTGTCCAAGATGGTTGTTGCCAAAATGCTTGGACTTGTATATCTTGGCTGCCGTTGCAGGTTTCGCACTTGCCAGTTAGTGTGCTAGTCTGAACCTCTGCTCCTGTGCACAGTGGAATGAATAAGCTTCATGAGAAGCCTGATACTGTTAAACATTCTAGATGCTACAAAAATATCGTTGAGTTAGCAAAGGCATATTCTTTAGCTTGAAGATTTTGCAGAGGGAATGTTCATCCTATTTTCAGCCCTTTTGTTTGTGAAAAGTATAAGGGGAGTTGAATGTCATATATAACTTGATGGGTATGTATCTAGAGCTTAAGCAGCTTGTGTCAGTTTTCCCACTTAGAATGGATAAAGAATGTGTATATCCTCAGACTCATGCTAAGTAAGAACACATTTCAAAATTGTATCAGAAAAGGTAAGGAGAGTTTGAAATTCATGTCAATTTGATGAGAGTGGCCTGATACATTTAAATTTGCTTTCCAAAAAACAGCACTACTTCAGTTTCTTTTCTCCACCTTTTATAATTCTATGGTAACATCTGTTTTTTTCCTTAGCTTATCTCTCAAACTTCTGCTGTTAGTGGCAGTTTTGTTGTTCTTGCTTTTAATTTTAGATTCTGACGGGCTGGTGAATACAAGCATTTTGCCAGCTGTTGGCAGTCGAGTGTGTTAGGGAGTCATGGCGGGGAAGGAGTGAGTGGGATGCCCCACAGGACCCTGCCCATTAGCTGTGCATGGCTTTGGATGGCAGACAGTGCATAGTTCTGCAAGTGTGGCAAGATGATGCTGGTGATGCTGGCTGAAGTGGGGGGAAACAAGCCATGGTGCACAAAGAAAAGGACCTGCAGTCTGTCAAGTAAAAGCACCTACGGGAGAGTGACTGAGTGAGGCCTTGAGGAACAGATTTAAGATCCATGAATGCAACCACATTTTGTCATTCACCTGCTTGCCTAGGACAAGTGCTGGTTACACCTAAGCCAGCAGCCACACAGCCAGCTTCTTCTGCACCTGATTCAGCTTGCTTTCCACAGAGGGACAAGTTACCGGAAGCTCATGTGCATGGCTTGGCTTGGAGAATTAGGGAAGAGCAGATGCTCTGCAGGCCAAAGTGTACAACCACCCCTTCAATTGTTTGCAAAGGGGTGTTAGTTTTACTTTCAAGTGAATTATTGAACACCTCAGTTTAGTACATCTACCAGCCTGTGGCCTTGCTACCCTGCCTTTTTTCAAACTCTGCTCTATTGTTGAACTTGCTAGTGAAATTCAGATTGGGTAAGGGTCTCACTCTCTCCTGCTTTATTTATTCTGTAAATTACTATGGATGCTGACACTGGTGTTTCATAGTGTTTTGTGTTATTGATAGGAAGTTAGGAATGTTCCTGAGTTGCTAAAACCTGCCTATTACCAAAAAGGGCTTGAACTGTCAATTTGCAATGCTAAAAAATATGCAGCAGTCAGGATGGGGTGAAGAGAGAAATCTGGTGTTATGGATGATTTACATGATGCCAAAAATAGTCTCCAGCATAGGCTGAGTGAGGTTTAGGTGTGGAAAGAACCATTATAGGCCATTACAAAATTGCATCCCATGTGCCCAAGGCTGTCCCCCCATGCCGCCATGAATTAGCACTTCACTGCTGCTGGCAGTCCCATAAGTCTTTGTGATGGCACTGCTATATGTCAACCTGTATTGGAAAGTGCAGGACTATGTGATAAAGCCATTATAGTTATCAAATATACATAGAACTGCTACAGACTACCCACCCCCGGGCTCTCCATTGGCTACTGCCTTATTTCTCCTTCCACTTCTGTGGATCAACAAAAGCATTTCACTTAGCCAAGTGCCTATTTTTTTTTATCAAGTGCATAGCTCTTGTTTGTATAGTTGAGTACTCTTTGCATCTGAGGCAGTATATGCCTTTGAATACTAAATGCTGGGGAACATAAGCTATAGCTGGGTGCTTTGGGACTTTCTAGAGGCATCTTTTTGGCCATTGTATGAGCAGACCAATGGCCTAGCTTGGTCTTTGATCTGATCCAGTTGGGTGGTTCTTATGATCTTATTTTTGCAGTCTGTTGAATTGGATTGAAATCCTATCAGTGAGAACATCATTGCAAATCTCCATCTCAAAATTCTAAATTCCCCATTGATAAAAAGGAAGCCATAGTGACTCACACATTAGGGCAAATTTTGTAGAGCATCTTCCACAACTTAAATGTGGTATGTAAATAAGCACCAGGACTGTAAGGTGGCAGGGATGGGTAAATTCCAGTACTTAGAAATTGCAAAAACTTTCCCAGACCTAATTCAATATTCAGTGAAACCTTTTTAGTGTTTCACTGGGAGTTAATCATGACTGAGCATAATACACATAACACAGAATGTGCATTGGGCACAAGAGCACAGTGTGGAGCAAGTAAGCAGGCAGTTAAAAAAAAACACTACAAAAGTAATTTAAAAATATTGCTGTATGGATGAAACCCCAGAAAATTACTGTGTATTTTTGTTTTACCTCTTCCCTGTCTTTCCTCTTTAATCAGGGTGAAGATTGCAACCCCCCCTTTTTAAACTAACCTGTGAAATCCTGTCTGACCTCCAAACTGGCGATGTCAAGGGTACCGAGTCCTCCTCCTCCGGCAGAGATGTCAAGTGGACCTGTTGCAGAGAGCTGGTGTTATACTCAAGTAAGTCTGCTGTTTGGAATCATTCTGGCATTGCCTTTTCAAGTGACAAAGACTATCCAATAGTGGTTGTGCTACTGGCTGGCATTCAGTGCCCCTGTATGAATTACAATGGCTCAAGCAAGCAATATGGGCAGTAAGTGATGCTTTCTAAAGTTCAGTAACTAAAGTCTTGCCAGCTTTAGCAGTGATCAATGTAAGGTGTCAAAGTATGGGATTCCCAGACTCCTGTGTTGCCCCTGCCGAGCTTCCTAAGAATAGTCATCAACCTGCCCTGTTCTGAATGTTCTACTAGTGCCCATTCAGTCCCCCTCGAGATCCAGATCTGTAAGCCTTCTGGCATGTCTACTGTCATTCACAATGTCTCTGGAAATCCATATCTTCCAAACTGTCACCAAGTATGAAATATGGTCTTGTTATTTAATCTTTGTATTTTGATTTTTTTAACCTAAGGCATCCATGGGTTGGGTAACAAATTGGTCCAATAAGATAAAATGAGTTGTTGGATATACAGTTTTTTGTACACAACCCCAAACTAGGCCCATTCAATCCTTATGATCTGAGTGAGAAAAATAAATCAAAATTAAATCTCCCTTTGAAACTGTTGGGGCCCAACTTGCAGCATTCATCTGAAGCAGTTAACAGAGAAAATGTTGACATTTTAATTGTTTGATCCAAGACATTAAACATTTTCCTAAATATAATAAGTACCCCTTCCAGAAAACACTTGCCTGAGACCCTTTCAAATATTTGGGGAAAGGGAACCTTTTATTTTATTTTATTTTATTTTTTGAGCAGTTTGCAGTGTTTCCACTCCCTGTTATGGGGCTTACAATCAAGAAAGATGTCCCACTTGCTTTTGATCACCAAGGTTTCCAGAGGAAACCTCCATTGCAGGATTCAGCAGTTGAATACCGAGAGTCTAACCATTCATAAAACACCATACATTTTAATCCTCATGGATGCAGACCAGAAGATCCATTAGCACCAAACTTATATTTCCTGAAGTTGGTCATTGCTGGCCATGTATACTTGTTGATAGCCATAGGAGTCTCTCCATTGGTTTACAGCCCATGAATTGGTGGCTAAATGCTCCTTTTTCCTTCTGTGAGAGAGGAATGAAGTGCTGTGGACATCCTTTGGCTTGCACAGATTAGACTTTCTTGGAGGATTTATTACATTTTAAGAGAATGGCAAAGATGGCATAATCCTTCATTCTTCCCTAATAAAGGTGAAGGATGTTCTCCCCGCCCTTCGATTTCTTTGATTAGTAACATTAGTGGAATTCTTTGTTTCCACTTTTCAGCTATGTTTTTTCTTTATAACTGCTTACATGAATTTCTGTCTGACTTTGTTTTTCTTTCTTTTAAAGATTAAAGTGGTCAAATTTTCCTACATGTGGACCATCAACAATTTCAGTTTTTGCCGGGAGGAAATGGGCGAGGTCATCAAAAGTTCAACTTTTTCATCAGGAGCGAATGACAAATTGAAATGGTAAGGACCTTTACAGAAGAAACACCTGGCCATAAGCTACAATGGGGAGTAGCAAGAGATACATGAATTATAATAGCATGTGCTCAAAGCAGCGTTTGTAATTCACTGGGACCCCTTGGACAGGTTGCTAATGCTCAGCCTCAGTAGTGGCTTCTGCAAAATGCCATAGTTATTTGACTCATAGGGTTGTTTTCAAAATGTCTAAGGAAAGAAACTGTTTGTGTATGCTTAGTGCTTCAGTAGAAGGTGGGCAGCTGTAGATCTGATATATACCAGCATGCTTTGTGCTGGCATCATAGCAAGTTTTTTTTCCTCTCAATTTTACTCATCCATAACCAAAATGTGACTGAGAAATCCGCTTCAGAAGACCAAAACATCATCTTGTCTAATGGCCAGGAGCAAAGCAGGGCCATCAACCCGTGCAGTCCAAGCCACAGTGTGGTGCAAGCAAAAGGGGAAAAAGGCCACAATAGCTTCTAAAGGCTCAAGCCAAGGTACATGCTGCAGGGAGTGAAGCAAATTCATAGGAATTAATTGAGCTAAACTTTCTTCACAAGATGTTGTTAGAGAATCGTGACTTTGAGTAAGATTTGCTCACTGAGAAATCCTAAGTAAGAGAAATGTGGTGCAGCTGTATCCTGTTCTGTATTTGGCCTATAACTATAGTCATCCCTTATACCCCAGAAAAAAGGAGTGTCACATATTCTATGCAGGGGAGACAAATGGTTAAACCCAGCAATCCTTTCCTGTTTGGTATCTCTGTGGAGTAACCACAGGAATGAGTACCCCATTGCAGGATGCAGCCCATTGCCCCCTTGCAATGCAAGCCTTTGTGCACCCAGTATATGGAAACTGCCAGCAAGTTAGATTCACAGGATCTGGGAGAAGGATTGTGTAGAGAAGATTAAGAGAGTTTTTCTGTTTCTGCAGGTGTTTGCGTGTGAATCCAAAGGGCTTGGATGAAGAGAGCAAAGATTACCTTTCACTCTACCTGTTACTGGTCAGCTGTCCAAAGAGTGAAGTCCGAGCCAAATTCAAGTTCTCCATCCTGAATGCAAAAGGAGAAGAAACAAAAGCAATGGGTATGTATAGATGGTGCTTTATTATTTACTTATCATGCAGAAGCAGAGAGGAAATAAGAGCCCTGGTTGTGTGTATCTTGGATTTTCTTTTTTTAAAAAAGAACCCTGCCTCTTGTATGTTTTCAGAGAGTCAACGAGCCTATCGGTTTGTGCAAGGCAAAGACTGGGGATTCAAGAAATTTATCAGAAGAGATTTTCTTTTGGATGAGGCCAATGGACTCCTTCCAGATGACAAACTCACTCTCTTCTGCGAGGTAAAGAAGGAAGTAGTTCATGTCCTTCATTTCATTTAGAACAATGTTCATGAAGATGCCTCTGCCACCTCAGCTCTCAGCATAGTGCCTTGTTAGCCTTGAGGGTTTTTTTTTAATTTGGATGGGGGTGGTCTCTACAGCAGGGTGTGACTCCCCACTCTTGTTTGAGTTATCTAGAGCTGTAGCTCTTCTTGGTCTCTGTGCATTCACACATATGGGCACTGTGCCTGTGTGCAGCCTGTTGTCAGGGACATTCTATAGTGCAGTGTTTCTTTAGGCAGGAGCGCCTCCCCCTCCCCTTCCTCTTCCAGGTATACAGGTATTTTGACTGCCGTCATGTCAAGATCAAGAAGCGATTCTTTTTCCAAACATGAGTATTCCAGCATTTTTTGCCTATATTTTCTCCTCCTTTTTCTTCTCATCACTTATTAAGCTTAGACTCTCTCAACTTGCTCTGTGAAACTCATTTTTCACCCTTCAGCTACCATAAAAACACATCCCCCACTCCTCCCCCTGTATCCCCTATCAAACCTGCCCTTCTGGTTCTTTCTTTGGCCTTCCCCATCTACCTTGATGACTTTAAAGGCACCTTTTAGAAAGTGCATTAGTTGCAGGAGTGAACTCCTTCCTACATTCCCTTTGCCTCTTCTGCTTGGGTGAAGGACACAGAATTGACAGCTGCCCATGCTGCCAGGCCTTCGCTAAGCTGGCCCAGAGAAACAGAGTGGACTGCTTCAAGGCTGAATTCTGGAGCAGGGCCCATCGAGCCAGCAGTTGTTCCAAACAAATGTGGTATGAACAGCCATCCACCTCTGCCATGGCAAAACCACCTAGACCTTCCTGGGCTGTGGCAAAGGTACCAGTGCTGCCTGCCCCACCAATCCATGGCCAATCCCTGGAAGATTTCATGGCCCAGAATATTATCAAACAAGCAGAAAAGATGGCAGCTGCCATCAAAGGAAAATGAAGATGCTGTGTGAACCCCTGCTGATTCTTGACCCTGAGAGGTCTGCCAGTCATGATCCCGGAGGAGCTGGAAGCAATGGTACTGACACAGTCCTGGCAACATCAATCTCGAAAGGAGAAATACAAGACCTCCCCCACCCTGATCCCCTACCTGATCTCCATCCAAGGCGTTGACATTGTGCTGCTCTGCTTGCACTTCACCAAGACTGATCCCACTGCCATAGAACCCAGAAGGGCATCATTCTCCACTACTAGATTGGGACTGAGTGTCCAGTTGATCAGCCTCTCTTTGGTTGCAAGGGGGACTTCCAAATATCCTGCAGGGACAGCTGTGATTTTCATTATTGAGAAGGTGCACACAAGGACTAACAACCACATAGTAGGACCCATAGTACTGAGACCCCCTCTTTGCCACTCCAGTGTGACACTCCTCTCACTGACCATCCACAACACCACCAGTACTGAAAGCCTCAAGACAACAGGACATCTCTGCCTCCATTGGACCCCAAGGACTACATATCCAACATGGAATTTCTGATATCACTGACCTCATCTGTCTCCTCACCTGATGAGGATCACTACACAGAACGTGTTGTCACTGTCAGAGGAACAGTTTGCTGAGCAGGTGCTGAGGATGGTGAACTCCCTTGGGCTTGAGATGCAACAACTCTCAGAGTTATAGACCCACACCAAGGACTCAGCACCAGTGCTAGTACCATTCCCACTCACTCTACTGCAAATGATCCAGTAGTCATGGGAGCCCCCTTGGGCAGCACACTCCACCTTGAGAAGGCCTGAAAGTATGTACCAGGTGCTGGAGAGACGTTCCATTTCTTTTCTACGCCCGAGATCTAACTTGATTATCATGGAGTCAGTGCAGGGCAGATCACAGTGAGAATACTAAATGCTGCTCAATGGAAAAGACTGCTGCCAGGACAGGATAGTGAGGCAAGTCTAACCGGATGGGCCCTCAACCTCCAACTCTCCAGCTATGAGGTTACCATGATTCAATACTGGTTGTTTCCATGAGCAAAGATCATTATCTGTACCCACCATCTGGACAAATATAGAGAACTGGCTTGGGTCTTTCAGTCAGAAACCGCACGACTGGAGTGACAGCAGATCCCCGCAACCAGGCACCATGTTGACTGCAATGCCAAGGCCTCAGTAGGTACTGTGGCTATCAGGACACATGCTTGGGTTTGTTCCTCAGGACTTCCACAGCAAACCTGCTTTCAGATCAAGGACCTCCCCTTTGATGGGGAGGGTCTGTTTAATGCACAAATTGAAGAGTATCCAAAACAAGTCAAGGAGGATGGGTTTCCAGCAACCAAGCCATATAAATGGTTTGGGAAGCCCTACTCATCATCCCAGCAGAGGTGCTATAGTGACTTCCCTGCCAGGCTGCAGGCAACTCCCCAGGTAAGATAGCAAGATTCCCCAAGAGGAGAAGCATCACTGACCATTCCCACTGGCCTCCCCTCCCTTTCACGTTGATGGATGTCTCTCTCTGTACCTCCCTGTATGGAAAGCAGTAAGATCAGACTCTTGGGTCCTTTCCATTGTGGAGAGAGGCCACTGGACTGAGTTCAATACCCCTCTCATCACATGGGACCATAAGAAGTATGGCCCTAATGTTGGAGTCTAATCACTACTTTGAAAAGGGACCATTGAGAAAGTTCTCCCAGGGCTTGTGTTCTTGATACCTCACGGTACCAAAATGAGATGGGGGACTCAGACCCATCCTGGACTTCAGAGGCATCAATTTATTTATTATACCAAGGAATTTCAGGACAGTCATCCTCCAAAACATCCTGCCTCTCTTACAAGGAGACTGGTTCACCTTGATTGACCTGAAGGATGCCTACTACCACATCACCATAGACCACAATTATATGCATTTCCTACACTTCCATATTGGAGATGAGACATTCTAATTTTCTCTGTTACCCTTTGGCCTGTTGACCACACCCAGGATTATCACAAAATGTATGCTGGCAGTCTACTCACACCTACACCTCCAGGGAGTACAAGTCTTCATATACCTCAACGATTGGCTTCTTATCTGACCATCTAAGACAGACTTCCTCTGCTCCATCCATAATACCTGCTCCCTCCTGCAGACTCTGGGACTCTGCAGAAAATCATGAAAAACCCATTATCTCCCCTCCCAGCCCATTTTCTTCATTGGGAACCACCTCAATGTGAACTTAGCAAAAGCTCTCCTCCTCTCATCCAGAGCATCCACCTTAATCCAGATGGCCACCAAACTCAGAACTTGCCCAACCCCCATGGCCCATCAAATTCAAGGACTGCTTAGGCTGATGGCAGTGGTCACAGTGGTCCACTTTGGAAGGCTCTGGATAAATCCCATACACATTCCACACCTTGAATGATCCACTCACCTCAAACTGGTGGATCAGGATCAGCCTCCACTGGGGGATCAATCCATGCAATCTGGTAACAGGTTCCAACTTCACACCCCCAGACCCATCAATTATTATCACTGCCAGTGCCTTCCTGTTGGGATGGGGAAGACACTGGGGTGACTTGAGAACCCAGGGAACCTGGAGCCAGCGAGATGCTCACAGACACACCAGTTACTTAGAGATGCTGGCTGTTCACAAACCTTGACTGCCGCCTTGTTGTCCCTACATGGATGTCATAACCAGATGACCATGAGCAACACCACCATGGTATTCTACCTCAACAGGTAGGGCAGTACACAGTCTGTCCTATTGATGAAACTGGCCACCAGAATTTGGACCTGGTTGATCAGCAAGGGCATCATTCTTATGGCCATCCATGTTGCAGGAATAGGCAACACACTAGCAGACATCCGCAGCCTCATGTACCTCCACGTTCACAAATGGCAGCTGAACACCAGAGCCCTCTGCAAGATCTCTGACACATGAGGGACACTCACAGACTGACTGACTGACTGACTGACTGACTGACTGACTGACTGACTTTATTGTGGTCAAAGACCAGCTCACAGGCAACCTGTTCACCACAGCCACCAACACAGTGTGCCAGAACTTCTGCTCTCAGGTGGGACAGAGGACCAGCTCCCTGGGAAATGCATTCCTCTTCAAATGTCTGGGCATGCTGTTCTATCTCTTCCTTCTCAGGAGGGACAAGATGGATTGCATTCTTTTCACTCCGTAGTGGCTAAAACAGTTGTGGTTCACACTCTGACTCTGTCATTGGCTACTCCTCCTACTTCCACTCCACCCAGCCCTGATCTTGTGGGATAAGGGCAGAATCATTCTCCCTGACATCAGCACCCTCTGTCTTGCAGCATGGTTCATCATGCTGTAGCTCCCACATCCAACCCACTGCTGTAGGGTGATAGAATGATCCTTGATGTGTCCCTCAAGCCATCAATGAGGAAATCTTACATAGCGAAATGAAACCCCTTCTCTTCCTTCACACAACAGGAAAATCTTGGCTCACATGACCATTGGGCAAATCTTTCAATTGCTGTACATGCTCTTCCAAAAAGGGCTAAAGCCTCCCTCCATCCAAGTATACCTAGGGGTAATTTCCTCCTTCCACACACCAATCCAAGGGTTCCCAGTCTTCTCTCACCCTCTGCCCTGCTGATTCCTGTGGGTCCTGCAAAACTTAACTTCACCTGCCCATCCCTGCATACCAGCATGGAGTCCTTCAAATGTGCTGCAGACACTTACCAAAAAACCCCTTCTAGCTGCTGGCCACCTTCAACCCTAACCCCTTGCTCCTTCTCATGAAAAGGCACCTTCCTTGAGGCTATTACATTAGCTATATGTGCCTCCAGACAGAGCTTGCAACCTCATCTTCCATAGGGACAAGACAGTGTTCCAAATGGGTCAATCTTCCTTCCCAGCATCATTTCAGGATTCCACCTCAACCAAGAAGTTATCCTCCCGGCCTTTTTCACTGTCCCATCCAACTCTATGGAATCCCCCCTACCATCCCTGGATGTTTGAAGGGCATTCATCTTTTATTGCTCCAAGACAGAGTTCTTCCAACAGTCATCAAAACTCTTCATATGATTCAGTACAATGAACAAGGGGAAGCCATTCTGCTCAGAGACTACCAGCCTAGGTTACAATCACTATCTCCCTGACCTGTGAACTGCTTCATCTACAACTCAAGGCCCTTCCAAAAGCTCACACAACTCAAGGGATGGCAACATCCACAGCCCTCCTCACAGGGATACTTCTGCCAGACCTCTGCAAGGCAGCCACATGGTCCACACCCTCAACATTTGTCAAGCACTACAGGCTAGATATTCATGGAAGAATAGACTGACCTTTTGGTAGGGCAATCCTCTCTTCAGTCCGTCAGAGATGACACCATCCCTCCATCCATTCCAAGGTCAGCCTGCTAGTTGTCCATATATGTGATGCATAGAGACTACAAAGAAGAAACTCAGATTGCTCACCTGTAACCATCATACTTTGGGTGGCCATCTGTGCTGTCACACAGCCCACTAAATGGCCCTGCTTGGTATTGAACCTTAAAACTACCCCCCTTTCTGGGAGCACACAGAGGCTGGACCAGGTTGGTATGACACTCTTCCCTGAGCCGTATGGTGGTCTCAGTGGAACTAAGGGAATGGGTGGGAGCATCCTCCCATGTATACCTAGAACCAGAAGGGGAGAGGCTCCTGCCAAAATAAACAGTTAGACATAGCATCCTCCTGACAACAGGCTTCACACGGGTACAGAGCCCGTATGTGTAAAAGTACAGATGACCACACAAAGAATGAAAGTTAGAGGTAAGCAACCTGCCTTTCTGCAAGCTCCGTTTCTCATGCACTTGCTTGCAGCATCCTGTCATGTGGGTTGCAGAGACTGATTAGTGAAGGAGGAGATGAGCAAAACAGGTGTGTGGACCAGATTTGCTAAAGGAGTTAGGCAAAGTAGCCTTTCTTTCCCCCATGGCTCTTGATTCATTACTGGAATAGGTGTGCTTTTTTCTGACAGAAGGTTATAAATCTGGAAAGCCCGAAGTACATTTAAAAAACTTGTGTTAGTTTTTGCTGATGCAACAAGATTTTTTCAGCCGTTTAGGTGGGATGTGCCATATGTTCAGTGAATTTTTTTCTTTGTGGCCACAGGTGCCTACAGCTGTGTTTCTGTTTAGCTGGAATGATGTTCAGGGTTTTTTCCCCTCACTTTTCTGTGCCAAGACTATCTAAAATGCATGATAAAATTTGGTGAACTAAGGGGCTGTTGTGTTTCTTTTAATTTTAAATACTGCTGAGAAAGGGGGATTGCATGTCTTAGAATTTCATTTAAGCTCTGCTGTGTTTCTTCTGTCAGCCTGCAGTAACATAGGCTGACCGTTGGTAAAGATTTGGTATAATCAATTGAAATAGACACACACATTTTCTTGCATGGTCCCTGTTTTTCTGGCCAGTGCCTGTGGGGCTGTCAGCTAAGTTGCTCTGGGATCCTGGAGGCATCATTCTTCATAATAAAGTGATTGCTGAGTCAAGGATGCAAAAACTGAGTTGCACTGCTGTATTTAGCATCGGAGATTGCAACATCCTTAGGATCTCAGCTTTCATGTAATAAAAGCAAGGTTTTTGTTCTTTTAATCCTTCTTGACTGCAAAGGATACAGTGCACAATCTAGTCAAAGTCACACCCTTTTAAATCCTGCTAGTTTTAATGGGAGATATTAAATTACATGCAAAGACCTTCCATTGAAATTGAGTACTCATTTCTGGCTATATTGTTCCCTAAGTGTTTCTTCTTTCTTTATATTAGACAGTTCTTCATAAAGTCTCCTGAAAACAGTGTGGTTTCCAAGTTATGCTTTCAGTGCAACCTTGCAAATAAATTTAACAGGAATGATCTCAATCCTTCAGTTTTTATAGTGGGTTTTCTGGGTCATCCTAATCATTATTACTACTAATAATTTATTTCATTTCTATGTAGCCTAATACCTGAAGCTCTCTGGGAGGTTTGCAACAGTACATAAAAGCAATACAATAAAATGTCATAGCATCTTATGAAAGAAACATTAAAAAACAATCCATTTCATATTGGGGTGCAGGACCTGTGACTACCACTAGCTAAGGCAAGTTCTAAAAGGAGTTCAGGGCATTCCCGGAGGATACACCTGTCCATGGCTGCGAGTCCCAATGGCTATATAGAACTTCCATGTTCAAAGGCAAAAGGAATCTGAATACTCATTTTTTAGAGAATGACAGCAGGGGAGGTTATTGCTTTTCATACCTAGCTTCGCACAGGCATATAGTTGGCCACTATGGGAAATCAGCAGGCAGACTAGAGTTACTTTGGGTCTCATTCAGCAGGGATAAACAAATCACCACTGAATGAGCCCTTAACTTCCCTTGGGAAAGTTTGTGAACTTTGCACTAGCTAATGTGAGATTTTGTTTTCAGAAGACTTGGAGCCTGGGTTTTGCTGAAGCTTAGGGACTGATAAATAGCTATATGTGGGATCAAGAAGGCATATGGCCAGTGACACTGGGTGAATACAGATGATCATCTAACAGTGGTAACTTGCTGCACTATGTCAGAAAGCACTTGCGAAACTGGTTCATAACATCTTGACAAGGGATGAAGAGCATTTTATTATGAATGTTCATCTGACCACAAATCGGAGGGAGTTAGGGGATTTGGCCAAGGACTTTTGGATTCCTGGGAATTTATCCATGCCCTAGTGGTCATCTATATTCACCCACTAAGAGGTTTTTGTATTACCCACTGAGAGTATTTTATATGAAACTCTCAATGGACTAATTTCTTGGTGACAACTTCACAATTTTCCAGTAGCACATTTTGTGTGGATTTCAGGGGCTAAATCTGCAGGAGTGCCTGGTTGTGTCTTTTAATCCAGTGGAGTAAATACATATGTGCTTCTAATTCCATCCAAATCCATGGGTGTCCATAGCAGGTGGGTGGGGCAGGGGACACATGCAACAGTTTCCTTTCTATGCATTGCTGAGTCTTGCTCATAAGAAGACCTGCATCACTGCCTGAGAAGATATGTGGGATTCGTTGTTGGTTTGCTCTTTCCTTTTAGATTCACTGCTTCTACTGCTGCTTTTGTAGAGGTGTTGATCCACTATGCTTCCTTGCAGGTGAGTGTAGTCCAGGACTCTGTCAATATCTCCGGCCAAAACTCCATGAACATGGTGAAAGTACCTGAATGCCGTTTGGCTGATGAGTTGGGAGGCCTCTGGGAAAACTCCCGCTTCACTGACTGCTGCCTGTGTGTGGCAGGCCAGGAGTTCCAAGCTCACAAAGCCATATTAGCAGGTCGGTATTGATATGGACATGAGGCTTAGCAGGATGGTGGATGGACAGATTAGTGGCAAGATGGTGCCTTGATGAGCTTGCCTTTTGTAGGTTGCCTCTATATTTTAAAGGGCTTCAAGTAACAGTTCTAAAAGATGGGAATCAGTGATCTGAGGAGAAAGATGGAGAGCAGTGGGATTGCATTTTGGAAATCTTTAGAAAGATAAGCCAATCGCTAAGGATATGGAGGGAAAGAGTGCAAATGAAACTGTAAACTCTGTTTCACAATAAATTGTCTATATATTGAAAGTCAGGGAATTCTGTTTGCTACAGAATTCAGCTTTCAGGAATGATGATGGTTTGAAAGACAAGTTTCTGGCTTTGATGTCTGCAAATACATCAGTGAACCAGTACAAGCAGTGCTTGCTGAAATTCTAGAATTAAAATATGTCCCGTTGACAGAGTCAGATCTTGGTGCGCTGCATAGTTTGTTGTCATCTCCATGCTTAGCAAAACCAAAATGAATTATGCAAGATTAAAAAATGTGTTCAACTTGCATGATTTGTACAGATGCAGAACTTAGTTTGTCTGTGTGAATGTGTGTGTGGTTTGCTTTTTAAAATTTAGCAGAGAGTGCACACAGTCCTGTGCACACTGTGACAAACTGTGACTCACTGTGGCAGGCTGGCAAAGGAAACCTCCAGCATTGTAGTAAGAGAGAACAGAGGCTGGCCTAATAAGGGAGCAATAGACACCCTCGCTAAACTGTTTACAAATCCTCTCTTGCTTTGGGGAGGCGGCGTAGAGGGGACAGGGAAACTAGATTTAAACCGGCTTACTTTTAGAGTATTTATGCCCCTGGAAAGACACCTGATATGTGTCTCTCATTAACATTATATTTATTTTTGACATACCCCTTTTATACTGGTGCCTGTGTATGGAGGTACTGATTGTACATGTCATTTCCTCCTTGGAGAGCAAGGTTCTCACTTGGCATCTTTTTAATCATATCTGTGTGTTCTTTCTTTCTCCTCCCCGTTGCTTCTGGTCACAGCACGTTCTCCAGTTTTCAGCGCTATGTTTGAACATGAGATGGAAGAGAGTAAAAAGGTAAGTGCAGTCTTCTTGTCACGATGAAGAGTTGTTTGCTGGTCTACATGTGAGGAGATGTTGAGGAGGTGAAACAATTCTTGGTTGACCTACCTGGTAGCTTAAAAAGGTTATAGACTTTTGACCTCTGCCCACAAATGTCTTAGTCAGGCAGAGAGACTCAAAGCAGCAATAAAAGGTATTGCTGTTAATGTATCCAGGCTGACGAGGCATCACACTCTGGGAACAGAGAAGAGGAGAGCTGTCAGTGTGAACTGCATCTTGGACAGATAGGTCCTAAGTGAAAGAGTGGCTAGGGATCCAACATTGCCCATGAAAACAAAACGTTGCTGTAATTCAGCAACTGACTTTCCTCTTTGTTTGGTTCAAGAACCCAAACTAGAGCATGGGATACAACACTGAGATTCAGATCTCTGTTTATCTGTGGGTGTCCTTGGCCCAGGGTGCAAGCCCTCTGCAGGCATTCACCTGCTTCTGTATAGGGCTAAAGTGGGGAGGGGAATGTCAGGGCGCACATAAACCCAGTGTCCCTTCTTGCTGCCACTTAGACTTTTGTATCTTTTCCAGTCACAGGAGCTCTGTAAGTATATTCAACCTAGCACACTTACAGAGCTCTTTTGAGATCCTTGTGCTAAATATATGAAGGTCTAACTGGCAACGGGGCATGTTGTGGAGTGGCTTAGTGTGTGCCAATGTCCCATTTCTCACTTTAGCCCTAAACATGAGCAAGTGAATGCCTCCATAGAGTTGCAGCTTTTCAGCCATTCCTTGCAGTCTTGTGAACAACATAGGATTAATAGATGAGTATATTTATAACTCCCTCTGAACTCTTTGAATTGAGCAAAAAGGGAAATCACAATAAATTCTTCTAAAGGCAGGAAATAGGCAAAAATTAAGATATATGCAATGCTGGAGGTTAATTGGGAAAATACTGTTAGCTATTTAAGATTATATTTCTGTAACAATAAATGGTGGCTTCTTCTATTATTATCTAAAATGACAGAAAAAGCATTAAGAGAGAAGTTTCAATATGTTACCTGTAGCTGGAAAAGCTAGTTGAGATTCAAAAATATTCTGTTCCCTGCGTTTACTCTCCTAAATATTTAATATGCTTTCCAAATTGTTAACATGCAATACTGAAAGAAATATTTTGGGTGGAAAAGGGACAGTTTGGTCTATTGTCTGCATGTCAATAGAATAATCTTAATCTCCTCTCTGCTGCAGAATCGAGTAGAAATCAATGATGTGGAGCCTGAAGTTTTTAAAGAAATGATGTGTTTCATTTACACGGGGAAGGCACCTAACCTTGACAAGATGGCTGATGATTTGCTTGCAGCTGCTGACAAGGTACACAAGGCACATGGCAGGCCAGCCATTGACCTTTTTCTTTTTCTGGCCTTAGAGCCAACATGGAGACTGTGATGCTGGGATATTTGCTTTCTACATTAGATACCAAAGCCATTTATTTTGTCACTTCTTGCATTGGCTGATATGTTTTAAATTGAAGGGGAATTTTCATACCTTGGACCATGTGTTGTGACTTTCTGGGAGAAAACCATTTTTGATGTCTTGCCAAATTAATTCCCTAGGTCTTGGGACATACCTTAATAGGTTTTCTGAGCTCTTCCAGCTGTCTTCATATGGCAGGAATTGTCAGCTTCTTATGTCAGAAGACCAAATCCCTTCACTCACCAACCCACCAAGAATGCTTGGTGGCTGAGTCAGTTAGTTTTACTTTCCCCCATCTTCCTTCCTTGACTCAGCCTCAGGAAGCAGAGTTCAGCAAGATCAACATATTTCCTTAAAGGTAGCAGCTCATCAGGATCCTAGTGGCTTCCTCAGAGTCATCCTCCTAGGCAGACCTCTCCTCTTGCAGACTGGGAAGTGCCTGCTGTTTTGAAAGCAGCCCATGACTCTTTTGCATGTTACAAATTAATATTGTCTTCTGGACCAGAAGCAATTTAATGAAACATGATACAGTGTCCTACTTTCTGTGAAATGAGAGGACACTTCCTCACTGCAGAGGCCTCTGAGATGCCCCTCTCCTCTAAAAGGCAGAGGTCATCTGGAAGTTAAGGAAGCTACACCAACATGCTTGATACCTACCACTCCTTCTTTGGATTTGTGAGTTGCTGTGTCCTTTCTTACCTCATAGGTACCTTGCTCATCAAAAAACAAAAGGGGTGCCTCCTAAGGTGTAAGAAGCAATTTGGTATGGGGAGGGTTTGGTAGGGGGCTGGGAAGTTCATCTAGTGGCCCATGGACCACTAGATGATCATCCTTAAATAGCATGTTGTTGGAGTAGGAGGTTTGAATCTGGTTGTTAGTACTGGGCACCTGTTCAGAACTGGAATACAAAATATGGAGCTTCCACAAATTCAAACAAGGCAGCTTCCTCCTCCTCCTCTTTTCCTTTCACAGAAGAATTTCGATACTAGAAGAGAAAATATCCCACCCTTTGAGATGGAACCACAGGAAGTTCCCTTTCCTGTCCTCTTTTCTTCTATCCTCCCCTTGCTGGAGAAGACAGGGTGGGCAAAAGGAGAGCAGTAGGAATCGTTTCCTTTGGTTCTTTTCTTTTCTCTCTTGTTTAGCTAAGTGCCATCTTTAGAAGTGTGGGATGTGAAGGGCATAACTGACAGCTGAGAAATTTAAATGAGGGTTTTTCATGCTTCTCAGGCACATTGCTTGCTATTAACCTTTGTTACACAGAGATTGTTGTTCTCCTCTGGTATTGAAAACTACAAATATCTGAGTGGAAGAATAAAATTTTGGGTCTAGGAACTTCAGATATATTTTAAAATTTGATTCTAGGAAGTTCTGATCAAATAGACGAAATTACTTAGAATGTGGAAGTTTATTTTAGCCAAATTCCAGGCAGGCAGGTTGGGACAAAGAACAGAACTTGAGAAAGATGAACAGAAATTTGAATTATTTTCCAGCCTTGGTCCAAAATGCCAGCAGAATAAACAATGAGAAATCCCTTGTGAATTGAGCCATATTGTGGTTTGGGCCTAGGAAGGAAAGCAATAGTGAATTTTGGATGGAACACCGCAATACAAAACATATTATTTTTGTGTGTATTGGTAGAAATTTGTCTCCCTACCACCCACGCAACTATCCAGCAGATGCCAATAAGTCTTGTTCGCTAGCACACCAAAAGCCCATCTCAGCCTAGTTTGCTTTGGTGGAAGGTTAATTTTACAGCACACTCCACAGCATTAAATACCCAGCCATTGGTAAGTAAAAACGTTTGGTGTGGGACAACAGTTTGGGGTGCAGGATTCGGGCTTTTTTTAATGTAGCCCTTTCCTCTAAACATCCCCAGGTGTCTTTTTAAAAACAGAAAGCAAAACCTTTTATGGTAGCACATAAAATCTCTTAATATTTGCCCAAGAGGCTTGGGAGCAGCTTGTTCTGTCTTTGCACCAGTCTCTTGGGGAAAATATGTAATTATACTATAAACAAAACACAGTGCATATGCAGAACTCTGGAGACCTACCACTGGACTCTTGGGTGAAAATGTGATTAGAGGCGTAGGCTTTGTCTTTCAAAAGTGTAATTGAGGAGGATGTGAAAGCATGCTGTAATACCTGAAAGGCCCAAATACACTCACCTTTGCTCTAGCTGCACATATGGACTGCTTTATTGGCTTGCATGTTCCTTGTGCCCAAACCTCTGAAGTTCTGCAAATAGGATAAGTTATGCAGATTAGCTGCTATAACTTTGCATAATGTGGCTTCAGTGATTCAAGCTTGGCACGTACATTGACTATTTCTGGCAAAAAAACCCAGGGGTGATGGAGGAAGAGCATAGAGATATTTCCAGTTTTCTTTTTTCTCCCCAGTCAGAAGGCCTTGGAGGTTTTGTGGATGTTGAGATTGTGTGTTCTGTCCCTTTGTGAGGAACACTGACAGATGCCCAGAATATCCTCACAATGCCGTCCGGGGGAGCTCTTTCGGGTGGTACAAGGGCTGGTTCATCCAGGCCCCAAGAAAGGCCCCGTGCCACCCTCGACAGTCCACTGTGACAACTTTGCCAAGCATTTTAAGGAGAAAATCACTCAGATTCGTCATGAGCTGTATTCCACTAGTGACTCAGAGCCTCCTGGGGAGGTGCCAATGTTGCCGTCTGGTCCAAAATTGATGGATGAGTTTCAGTTGTTGCAGCCTGATGATGTGGACAAGGTGCTTGGACAAGTACGTCCCACCACCTGCTTATTGGACCCTTGCCCATCTTGGCTACTTAACAAAGCCAAGCATGCGATAGGGACCTGGATCCTGGAGGTGGTCAATGCCTCCTTTAAAGGAGGCGGTAGTCTGGCCAGTCCTAAAGAAGGCATCCCTGGATCCAGAGATGGCCACCAATTATAGACCGGTGGCCAACATCCCATTCCTGGGCAAGGTGTTAGAGCGGGTGGTGGCGGGACAACTCCAAGCACTCTTGGATGAAACTGATTATCTGGACCCACTTCAGTCCGGCTTCAGACCTGGGTACGGCACTGAATCTGCCTTGGTCGCCCTGTATGATGACCTGTGCAGGGAGAGAGACAGGGAGAGTGTGTCCCTGTTGGTCCTCCTGAACCTCTCAGCGGCTTTCGATACCATTGACCATGGTATCCTCCTAGATAGGCTAGCGGGATTGGGAGTTGGAGGCACTACTTTGCAGTGGTTCCACTCCTATCTCAATGGCCGATTCCAGAAGGTGGTGCTGGGGGACCACGCCTCTGTGCCATGGCAGCTATGCCATGGAGTTCTGCAGGGATCCATTTTGTCCCCCTTGCTATTCAACATCTACATGAAACTGCTGGGAGAGGTCATTAGGAGGTGTGGGCTGCGGAATCATCAGTACGTTGATGATACCCAGCTCTACCTCTCGTTTTCAACCAATCCAGGTGAGGCAGTGGCTGTGCTGAACCGGTGCCTGGCTGAGGTAATGGGCTGGATGAGAGCCAATGAACTGAAGCTCAATCCAGACAAGATGGAGGTCCTGTTGGTAGGAGGGTCGGGCTTCGGGATGGGGGACCTGGACCTTGTCCTGAATGGGGTTGCACTCCCTCTTAGGGACAGGGTTCGCAGCTTGGGAGTGCTCCTCAACCCAGAGCTGTCATTAGAAGCTCAGGTGACAGCGGTGGCGAGCAGCGCTTTCTTTCAGCTTTGGCTGATCCATCAGCTGTGTCCCTACCAGGAGAACAATTGCCTTGTGACAGTGACACATGCATTGGTAACTTCCTGATTAGACTTCTGTAACGCGCTCTACGCGGGGCTGCCCTTGAAGACCATCTGGATACTTCAGTTGCTGCAAAATAGAGCTGCCAGGCTGCTGATGGGGACTGGGCGTTGTTCACATATAACCCCAGTCCTCTGTCAGCTTCACTGGCTCCCCATTGAAGTCCGGGCCCAATTCAAGGTGCTGGTTATCACCTATAAAGCCCTGAACCGCTTAGGACCTGGTTATCTAAAGGAACGCTTGCGCCCATATATACCCTCCCGCCCCTTGAGATCAGCGGCAGAGGCCCTTCTGCGGGAACCCTCTGTGAAAGATATTATGAGGGTGAGTACCCAGAGGAGGACCTTCTCTGCGGTGGCGCCCCACTTATGGAATGCACTCCCCAGAGAGGTCTGCCTGATGCCATCGTTATTTGTTTTTTGGCGCCAGGCCAAGACCTTTTTATTTAAATGTTATTTTAATTGTTTATTTATTGTTTTTATATTTATGCCAGGATGTTTCCAGATTTTTAATGTATCTGTATAGTTATTTATTTGTATTGGAAGCCACCCCGAGGCTTTTGCGAATGGGGCGGCATATAAGTGTTCCAAATAAATAAATTAAATAAATAAATATATGTCCTTTTTCTCCCCACATCACCAAATGATTCTGTATAGTGAGTCAAAGTATTTCTACTGTAGGACTGGGGAGAATTGGTTGGATCCAAACTTAAGGTGCAATCCTGTGTACATTTAGACCAAAAAATATGTCCTGCAGCTCCCAGCATCTTCCAGCCTGATATATTGGATTGTGCTCTAAGTGATGTTTAGAAAGAGACTCACGGAAATCAGTGTGACTTAATCAATCTTGGTGATGACTAAATTAAGTCTCACAGATTTTTAGTTGGACTACTCTGAGCATGACTTAAGTCTGGATTCAACCTACAATGTTTTCCATGTATTGTCTTGATGTAATGCTACTTTTATTGTCAGGGAAATATTAGGAAGAACTTGGAATGTATGTTCCAACAAACAAAGACTCTTACCAGAACAGAGATGCTGTAAGATTTTTAAAAAATGGGGCAGAACCATAACTACAGAAACTATTTTATGTCCTGTACTATAAACACACACGTGGATGTGGGAGACTCTTCCTTAACAGTGTAGCCTCTTTTAATTTTCCAATTTTTGGGCAACGTCATTCACCATCCTTTTATATATTCTTGCAGTACGCCCTGGAACGCTTGAAGGTGATGTGTGAAGATGCTCTGTGCAGCAACCTGTCTGTAGAAAATGCAGCAGAGATCCTGATCTTGGCTGATCTACACAGTGCAGATCAGCTAAAAACTCAGGCAGTTGACTTCATAAACTAGTAAGTAGGTTTTCCTTTTTTGTCCCAATGTTTAGGAAAATCTGGCAAGTAGAAGTCTGGGTGCAAACCTCCACTGCATTTCACTGATTCTAGGTTGTGTCAGAATCAGTGGGTTCCTATGATAAGGGGGAATAGACAGTGTGTGTGAGATGTGGTGTGTGTGTGTGTATGAATATTACTGCTCCACCAAACAAGATCCCTCTCTCCCTGTTTTGGGCCTACATGGACCTTCCTTTTCAGAACATCAGTAGCTTTCCCCTGTAAACTGCAGCTGCTCTTGTGTTATGTCTTTGTGCTGAAAAGACATAGTGCCTGACTATTGCATAATCCTTAAGAAGGAATATGGAGAGAAGCACCTATTTTTGCCAAGAAAGACCATAGTAGTTGCATTCATATTCATTCTCTCTCAGGTAACCCATGGGAAGTAAGCTGGGAATCTCAAAAGCAAATCCTGCAGGAGCTGAGGCATGTCAACCTGAAGTACGACACTAGCAGTAAACAGCCACTGCAAAGTGTCCCCTGTCTAGATTGATTTTGAGGCTTCTTTTATAACAGCTGGAGTTCTAAAGACAAGGGCAAAGGAGGGGATAGAAACAGCCTTTGCATCTCAAAAGGACACATGAGGGCAAGTGGGAAAGATAAGCTTTGAAACAGCCTTCACTTACCAGGCCAACTTGTGACCTTCAGCTCCCATAAGCTCTAGCCACCATAGCCAATAGTGAGGGGTCATGAAACCATCTGGCGGGCCACAAGTTCCCCACCCCAAGTGTTTACACTGCACTGTTTAAGAGTCTCTACAAAAAAGCTGTACACTTTTAGGCAAATTGTGAGGTATTTTTAAAAGACATAGAAGTAGTGGAGAATCCCCAAGCCACTTCCTTCCTTTGCTGTATTGAACTGTTCAGTGTTGCTTTCTCATGCATCTTTTCAAACTAGTAATTTTGGGTTCTTGGTGACTGTTTTCAGCCATGCTTCTGATGTCATGGAGACTTCAGGCTGGAAATCGATGGTTTTATCTCACCCTCATTTGGTGGCTGAGGCATATCGTTCGTTGGCTTCTGCACAGTGCCCGTTTCTGGGACCCCCACGCAAGCGGCTGAAGCAGTCCTAAGGCTGGACCCCATCACACAACCTTGTGTGTGTGTGTGTGTATTTTTTTTAATGGAAGTAGCGACGGAAGAAGTTGCTTCTCCCAACTTTGACCACCAGGTAGATGATGCAACCTGTGGAGCTTTTTACTCTGTTGTTGGGGGGTGGGGGGGTGGGGGAAAAGACTGCTTTGGGACATGCAGACTTTTAAAACAAAGCAACACAAAAAACAGCACCGAGTAAACTTGGGGGCAAATGTGGGTGGGGTGGATTTTGGGTAAAGGGGACTGTTCAACTACTATATCCCTGTGGCTGCATTGTCTGTGTGTTTCCCTTTGACTTGGCTGAGTCAAGAACTTAAGGGGGTTGGCCAGGTGCTGGCCCAAGACAACAGATCCCAACAATACTAAATGGAATTTAAGGCAAAAAAGTAAAAAGGAAAGAAGGAGAGACAACAAATAGCACCTGCGTCTGACAGCACAGAAGAAGAAGTCGGGTATGCTAAGAGCAAAGAAGACTCTCTGTTTTGCTTCTGAAACAAGATAGGCCCTAAACAGGGGGATGGAGGAAACGGCCATGTTAAAATGAAGCCTGCTTATCAGAGCATCGATGGATTTTATAGTGAGAGACCTTTGAGAGGGAGAGACCTTCCAACCATCCTGAAAACCCTGCATTTGCCATCCAGCTAGGATGAGGTGATTGGTCTCTCTTGGTAGCACTTGTTTATTAACTGTGGACAAAGAAAAAGCAAAACCCTCTCACGAAGCAGCAACTTCTTAAAAATAAAGAGAAGGCTTCTTGAGGAGATGCTCCAGAAGATGTGTATAAGATGGGGGCAGCCATTATAAACTTTCAGGAACTGTTGATGATATTCATGACTTGGAAATGGCTGCCCAGGAACAATGGTTACTTGTTTAGATATCGTGGGAATTTTGTTTTTCTGGTACCTCTTTTTCCTGCTTTAATTTTGTTTCCTATTAACTCCTGTGATCCCTTCACACCCTCTGACCCTTTTTGTTTTTTAAAAAAGAAATTTTATTGTTCATGAACACTGTGTCAAAGGTTTCTTGTCCTGAGTTGCTAAAGCGATTCTTATTGAGTGTTTGTACCCATTCTGCTGGTTTGTAGACAGTCTGGTCCTGTTCCATTCTAAGCCAGTTTTCTTTTACAGGAAAGAAGTTCCAGAATAGCTGGTAAAGCTTCTCTTCTCTTCTCTTTTCTTTTTTTTGAAATATAATTACGCTTTTGTACTGTGTGTTGTTCTGTCGTGTCTTCATGGTCTTCTGTCCTTCCTTCCTTCCTTCCTTCCTTCCTTCCTTCCTTCCTTCCTTCCTTCAAAAATACCTTTCCTTCAGTTCAGTACAGCAGAATTGGTTTATGTGTCTGCTGTATTAATGCTAACTTACTTTGTTTTTACAGCCCAGTAATTGTAGTCCAGCCACCATAGCTGCCACTTAATATTTCAGCAAGAACCAGTTTTAAGAGCTGGCTTTCCTGGAGTTTTTCAGGGGAGGGGTAGGTTTCTGCTTGACTTCTCCCTCTTGCATAAAGGAATAGGACCAAGAGGGAGAGGGGAAAGATCTCTCTTGTCTCACCTTGCATAAAATATAAAAGCTAAGATGGAATATCTATCTTAGCCCATTTTCACTTTAGCTCAGAAGTAGGCAACCTCTTTTTGATAATGGATACATTTGAAAATGGGGGGAACTGTCCCAAGTACTATCACAAAATAGGTGCCATAGAGAGAGGAAAAAAGGACAAATAATTTCCCCACAAAACTTGAATACAAGGCAGAGGTGGTGTGCGAGTTCCAACACCTGAAACAATTCCTTGGAACCCACAGTTTTCAACTCCAGTACAAGCCTATTTCACTGCAATCTCAGCTTGCCAGTAAGAAAAAAAAGTTTGAACAATTGTGAGAGGCGTAGGATATCTGGATGCTGAGAAAGGGGTCTGGGGGTGCATTAGTGGCACAACTTTGCCTAAGCCTGTTCTAACTCCGAGGTGTAGGAGCAGTTCTCAAAAGAGAAGGCAAATGTGGCATGGCAAATCCCACACTAGTATTGCAACTTGAACTAGAATGCTACTGCATGTTCTCAATTTGCTCTGCAGATCAATAGGAGGTCCATAGGTTTGGCAACGAGGAAAGTAGGGTGCAAATGCATAGGCTGGACAGATCCTCAAATCGGAGTTCTACGCCTGATGCTGTTGTAGTCGGGAAGAACAACAAATGGGACTTGCAGCAAAAGGTTGCAATAGATTTTTTTCTGTTAATAGGAGCATTCCTCTTCAGGATTCTGTCCATTTTCTCCAAGCAGGGCATTCTATTCCTCTGCCTGTCTGCACCCTTCCCCTGCCCTTGTCTGATAGTCAGTACTCTGTAACTGCTGAGCATGTTTGGTCCCCATTGGGCTATTCTGTGCATTGGAGACTTTTTTTCCTTCTGCAAACCTTGGCATTCTTTGGAGGATATTGATACCTCTCTAGTTTCTCAGCGGACCTGTTTGACTTCCGTTCTAGTGCCACTCCCTTCCAGAGAGAGGGTCATATTCTCTTATTCTTTTTTGGCTTTCTCACCCTCTTGAAATCTCACAATAGGTACCACTTTCTATCCTTGCATGGTGCTAAGCTAAAAGCAATTTGAAATCCCTGGCTTCCTTTATAAAACTGGGTGGCAGGGTAGAGAATTGAAACAGGGTGTGTTAAGTTCAATCTTTTCACTTAGCCTCCAAATCCAGATAAACTAGCTTTCTTATATCGATAAAACCGCTTTGACTTTAAGCTGCCTTAATAGGAAGCCATACCAGTTGGTAGTCCTGCTAGCCCTGACTGGCAGCGACTCTAGCATGTCAGAACAAGGCCTTCCTTAGCCTTGAAATTTAGACCCCTTTCTAGCAGGAGGTTCTGGCAACTGAAAACTGTACAAGAACTGTACTGTGGGGCTAACAATGGAGGATTCCCCCATAAGTGGAGCTGGGCGGAAGTGGGAAGTTGGGGAAATGTTACTCTGGTTTGAATTTGTTCCCTTGGTGTTCAGGCTATGTGGTGTGTGCCTGCTGTCAAATCTAATAAACTCTTCCAGTGGTCATGCCTGTCTTGCATTGAGGGACTGCATTGCAATTCTGCGAGAGCAGAATGGAAGGACCAATTTATTTCACTGTGTAAGGTGTTCTATTCCCTGTTTTTAATACTGTTATGAAGAAGGCATTTGTGACTTTCTTTCTGCAGCTCAGGAACAAACTCTGGGGATGTTTGCTTGTTTATGAAGCAGGAACTGGTGTCTTAGTTGGCCAGACCTGTGCCATTTCCCTGTTCAATTATTCAGTAGCATGTGGCATCTTTTTTCTCTTAGTTTGTGTTTCCATGCTAGCCAGCTGGCCATGGAAAATGGGAAGCTCCTCCCCTTCATTCTCTCTTCTAACTTTTTCTGTCTCTGCCCCATCCAAACTGCCATGTGCAATTTGGGGATAATATTGACCAATTCCACAGACTTGTTTACAAAGATTTCTGAAATAATGTATGTGGAATGCTTAGAAATGTCTAAATGCTAAGTATTATCACTGTGTTGTGTTCAGCCTGTCTCAGCAGAGGAGCTGATGTGTGGGAAAGAACAGGTGCAATGTTAATCCAGGTTTGGGATTTAAGGTTCCTCTGAATTTAAAAAAAAAGTGTCCAAGGTAGTCCTGACAACATATGATTGACATACCAGGAAGTCTGCAGCCAAGGCACCATGGTTTGTATGTTACACCAGCTTCTTGGTTATATAGCCCACATGTTAAGTGTCCTAATTATGTAGGAGTAGCCCAGTTTGCATGAACAAATAGCCCATGGTTAATACACCAAGGGTTGTTTGTAAGCATGACTGTGTTGGCTTTTGCTTCTCCCCACTCTCTCTACAAATTGCAAAACAGCCTAGATTGCTTGGTTGTTGTAATATGTGAACCTGGCCCTGAGTTTGCATATCATGTCAACAACCCAGGATTTAGCCCATTGTTTTGCAATCCAGAAAAAGGTAGAAGTTGGCAAGTGAGCAAGAGTCAGCACACTTGCATTCCTAAACTACCCACAGTTTGTTAACCATGGTTAATTTACTTATGTGAACTAGCTGATAGCTTTTGAATCCAAGATACAATAGCCAATGAAAACCTTTGGGTCCTCAGTGGTTTCTATACAAGTAACCTTTCGCTCGCTTGAATTTTAAGGGAGGTTTAGCCAGTGGTTCTGAACCTGGGTCCCAAATATGGTTCTACTATAACTCTAATCAACCTTGATTATTGGCCATGTTGATTGGGGCTGATGGGAACTGTAGTCCAACATTATCTCAGGAGCAAAAGGCAGGAACTATTAGATTACAGCAATTCATGGCAGGTCAGTTTTTCAATGACTATTTGTGTGTATCAAGTTTCCTAGTCACCTCTGAATTGCAGCTTACAATATCAAAATGTATATTGGTAAGAGGTAAAAGGCAGTGTGACTTCCAGCTACTGGGGACAAATGAGGTTGCCACTACTTCACATCTTGCTTCTTCTAGGACGTAGTGAAACTTTATCCCATCTCAGCCATTGTTAAATCTTCCAAAAACTTAGCATCATTGCTTCTTCATGGAGTCCGTGCATCACACATATGAGCTGTGCACCTGCATTGGGCCTCTTGTAGGGAAGATTTCCTAACTAAACTTGTTTTGATGGGAGTCCCTCCCTTCCTGCCTCTCAATATATCTGGAAGGGGTTCCCACCCACTTCCTCAGTTTCTTTTCAGTGGTCACTGTGGGTACCTTGGGACTCTCCTCTATTAGTAGCTCATACTTTCCCTGACTCATTCTCTACATGTGTTTTTGCTTTCTCTAAAACTCTGATTTCTACAGCATTTACCCCCTTTTCTTCCCTAACCTAACCCTTCACACCCCCCATCATTTCTCTTGTTCTCAACACTGTCTTCTCTATTCTCCTCCTCCGTGCTGGCACTCAAGGCACCATTTTGGAAGTGTGCTCATTGAGGGAGCAAGCTGCCTCCAGTGGATGCCCTTCTTGTTGCCTGGGTGAGGGGCACCTCATGGAGGCCTCTCTATATTGCCAGGCCTTCACTAAACAGGCAGCCAATTCAGCCAGATCCTGGGCTTT